GAAGACAGATGTAACCTGAATAAAGCGAGGTTCGTCAGGTTTAGGGAGATATGTTCCTGACTCCCAGGCCTGACCCCAATTTCCCAGCTGCCAGTTCTCCAGCTTCTCAGTGAGCTCTAGGCTCCCATGAGAAAGAGAACCTCCTTCTTCTGCACTCATCCCACCAGCGGGGAAGGCTAGATCCCCTGGAAGTTAGACAAAGCCAGTGTGACTTCAGAGAACACTCTAATCTGCTGAGGGAGAAGCACCAAGGGGCCATGGAGCAGGACCACCTACTTTTGTCCCGATTCCAATTCCAGGGCAAGTTCAGGTAATGAAAAAGGATGAAGAAAACAAGGATGGGGGCAGGACCACCCACCCACCTGTGCCTGGGCAGCAGCTTGACAGGCCGCTTACCTATTGCTACGGCAGCCAATGAGATGGGATGAGAGAAATGACGCCAGCAAGAGGAGGAGAGTGACAGCAACGAGAGAGAGGGTTAGACACAACACACTGGGATAGGCAGCACACACCATGAGGCAGAAGCGGACAAGGCACAGGGAAGAAGCAGAGAGCACATCAAGGCATGCAAGACAGTGTATGCCCTGACTCTGGCTTAACCGGGTCCATGCAGGGCCATAGCAGGGTGTGGATGGGTGTGGCAAGCCAGGTGTTTCCACAGCTCTAGCTCATGCCCCACCACCAGCCAATGGACAGACAGCCACAAAGGCCACATCAGCCCACTACCCTGGGAGCCAAGAGCCAATGAATTGGGGCACTGCAGCAGGCCCAGTCTATGATTGCCTGTCCCAAAATCTTAGAGAAGAAAAACAGCAGCACGAACCAGAGGAGCTGAATCTCATTAGAGCTGCTGAAGGTAGGATGTGTCCCCCCGAGCCAGGAAAGAACAGTGGTGTGCAGGGTGGGGCAGAATGAGAAGCAGGGCCTCATTGTTAAGGTCTGAGGAACCCAGAACAAGAAGCTATTGTGATAGGCCAGAAAGGGCAGCATGGCTTCTGACCGACCTTCTGCCTTTCCCTCAGTGGCCCAGGGAGTGCCTCAGTGCTCATAATCTCTCCTCCAGGAATGGCCCAGAGGAACTGAAAATAGCTGAGTCAGCAGCCTGCCTCCTTCTGAAAAAGGGAGTGGAAGAAGATTTGGCAGCCTGGAGAGGCTTTAAAAAGAATCCAGTGAAGACTCTCATCATGAGAAGGGCTTTTGAAAGCAAGACTTAGATGGATTAGTACCTCCAGCCTGGTCACTAACTCCACCCAGAAGACAGATCTCCCTCCTCCTCAAAAGTGGAATCAACCTGCCCAGGCAAAAGCACTCATCTTTAGCAATCAGGTGTGTCACCAGAGAGATAGGAAAGGCCGGAGTTCCAACTGTAAGGGCCACACCAGTCCAGAGGTCCCACCTGGGAGTCAGCACTACCAGACCTCATGGGAACCAGGCTCTATTTGCTTAACTTCCATGATGCAGCTGGGAGTGGGGTAGGGATGGTCCAACTCAAGGGTCTGATAGGAACAGACCTAGTTCTGCATGCTGGGAAGGTGGGATGGGAAGGTTGGGGACACAGCTGGCTCAGCCAGGGGACTCACCCGATGTCATCTCGGTAGACCCGGGAGATGAGCACCTCCCCCTTGTGATTATAGATGAATAAGCCTCCAATCATGGCGGCAGCTTAGTCTTCGAGGCCCATTGCTCTGAGAACAGACCTAGGACAGGCAAAGGCAGGGTAAGAGAAGGTCTCAGAACCCCTGCCAACGTCCCCTGTGGTGCCGTGCAGGTCACAATCTGGGCTTTTTCCCTGACTCAACCCTTTAGCAAGGGATCCTGCAGCCCTTGAAGGCATGCCCCTCCCCTTAGCCAGGCTCCAGTTCCTGTTTATCTCACATTAGAAAGGATAAAGAAACAGTGAGGGACTTGGGCCCAGGATTCTATAGCCATTTGACCCTCCCTTTCCCAAGACTGGGCCCAGAGGGTAGCCCCCTCCCCCTCTTCACAGAGCTGAGCTCAGCAAAGATCTTTTTAGGCCCCTTCCTGTGCCGACTGTCACTCAGGCTCTCACCAGTGAGTCACTGTGAAGGACTGCCTGCGGCTGCAAGAATGGCATGGTGGCAGGAATTACTCCAGTGGGTTCAGGTCTGGAGCCCTTAAGGACAGCTTTAGGAGCCCCCAGTCTCAGACTCTCCTATCCTTCTGAAAAGAAGGCAGGGCCTGAATCTCTGGCTCTCTAATTCACAGAAATCTAAACATTCCAGGAAAGGGTGTGCAGGGTTGGGGGAGGAGGAAAGAAAGGAGGCCTTAGGCCCTGACGTGAATCCAGAAGTGTGGCTCCAACCGCTTTCAGGCAGTCAGATAAGCAGGCAAAAGAGCAGAGTAGAAAGCCCCCAGCCCTAGCAGACTACGCTTAAAGGACCTAGGCTGCTTAGTACTTAGTTATTTTTGACCACCTCACTTTCAAAAAGGGAGGCTCCTTCTCAGCTCCAAAGTGCAATAAAAATAAAGAGAGGTGGTAGTGAGGGGGGGGGAGGTAGGGTGCAGGTACATAAAATTAAGAGACTCTTCCAGCAGAAATTCTGTGATTCCAGACTCACACTTCTGGCCCAAGTGCCTACAAGTGAGGGGCAGGATGCCTGAATTATCCGTATTATTTGGGTCAAATAACCGTAGACTGTTTGCAAGGGCAAAAAGGGTTAATTTAGTTCTAGATCTCCTGGATTAGCCCTGGTATTAATTTCACAGGAGGTAATTTAGCAGACTTTTCTAAACTGTAAAATAAAGTCTATTACTGTGGCCATCAAGATCTCCCCAACTCAATAAAGAGGTCTCTGAAAGTGGTGGACATATCCCATCCCTCAGTGGCAAAGAGACTGGGAAGGGAAAAGGCAAAATGGAGGTAGGCCCTGGGCAAAGAACCAAGTTCACAGGTATCAAGTGGTAGGGAGCTCTGGCACCAGAGAAGCAGAGGTGGGGGGCCCAGAACAGGAATGAAATATTTACTTAAGGGAAGAAACTGACAGCAACAACCAGGCAGTATACTCAGGTGAACCCACGGCAGCAACGGGGCTAGTGGGGGCACCTGGGGGAAAGGTGCCCCCTTCAGTGTGGCAAAGGTCAGAGCTTAGAAGAGGCAAAACAGCAGGGACCTGACAATGGTGAATAAGGGAACGCTGGGAAGACGCCCGGCGGGGTGGTGGGCATTTGCCCTGGGGTAGAAAACACCGTGGAAAAAGATGGTTCCATGGGGTGCGGGGCTGTCACAGGGATAAGGCCTAAGAGCCTTGGGGTATCATTCAACTGGGAGGAAGGGGTGGGAGGCTTGTCACAGTCCAAGGTGGCAGCACAAGCGGGTGTCACTGTCCTAGCAGATGGGGAGATTGTCCTTGCATTGACGGGAAGGCACCGACTGGTACGGGTGTTGTCACTATCCCTGGGACAAGGGCGCCGCGCGGCGTCCCTGCTCTGGGAAGATTCCAGTAGGTCTTCCTCTCAAGGGAGGCGCCGGGTGGGTCAGGTGGAGGGCGCCGCTCCCCTCCCGTCTGCAACCGCGCCCCGGGCTTCCCCACCCGCCTTCAGCTCCCTCCGGGACCTGAAGGCTGAGGCCACTCCCGGGTGTGGGCAGCTTTCCGCGTGCGCAGTGCAGAGGAGAGCAAAACTGCAGCTGGGCAGTCTTCCACCCTCATCCCGTAAGTCCAGATCCCGAGCTCACCCAGTGTCCGCGGCCCCCAAATCCGCCGGACCGACCACTCTCCGGATCCCAAGATGTCCGCCCGCCCCCTGCTCCAGCCCGCTGCCTCTGCTTTCACCGCAGTGCCCCGGCCCCGCCCCGGCCTCAGCTGCGCGTGCGCGTGCGCCTGTGCGTGCGCCTCCCGCGCACACTACAAATCCCGTCAGGACCGTGTTTCTCACTTAAATTTTAACCTCTCTAGGTTTAGCAAAACTACAACTACCGACGGCCTTCGAGAACATTCGTAGAAGGAGTGGGCGTGGCCTTAACTAGCCCTACCCAAAATTCACATCCCAGCCTACTCATTTTCCCCACTGAGCATTCTGGGAATTGTAGTCTTCACAGTCCCTCCTATTCCTATTTCAGTGTCCGCCACCCGCCCCCGCCCCCCAACCCATCCCCACCTTGAGAACCTCAAGAGGATTAGTACCTTTGAAAGTCCATCTGTTAAGTCTCAGGTCGCTATGTACCTTTAGTGTCTCCAGTGTCCGAGGATTGGCTGTTCTCACTTTCTACACAATATACGACTTGTAGAGGTGTTTGTGCTGAATGTACTGCTTTCTAACTGCTTTCTTCATTCTCCCAAGGTGGTTTTTTTTTTTCCCCCTTCACATATATTTATACCAGGCATGAGCCTTTTCTCAGGGTATCAAGACCCCAAGGAAGGGGCCAGGGAGTGAGGAGGAAAATATTTGGAAGACACTAGCTAATGCTTTTCAAGAATATGTCTATGTTCCACATCAGCTATACCTACATGACTGTCAGCTTCTCAAGGTCAGAACCTGTAGTAACAGGCAGATATGTTGCTTAGAAAACCTTTGGTGAGTTGAATTTAATTGGACATGGGATTCGAAAAACCCTGTCTGAACAGTTAATCTTTGCATCCAAGCTGAGAAGACAGAGCCAACCCTTGAATGAGAAAGGTTTTTCTTCGACCTGAAGAAAATCTGTTGGCTTTTTTCTTTCTATGATGAGAGATACCCTGATGCCTTCCCTAGTTGGGGCTGAGCCCGTCATGGGAAGAAGGAAGGGCCAGAAAGGGCAAACCTGGTGGCAGCCCTTTCTGTCCTTAACATCCTCTTGCCAGAAAGCCAAAATGGTGCAGAATGAAGATTTGTCCTCTTTCATTCAAACCGTGGTCATAGTCTGAAGCTATAAGTTACTGAACACAGGCACTTCTGATCCTTGAACCAGTACACAAGGCTTCACTTCTACCTTTCCCAAAGCTTTGTCTTCAACACCCTAAATCCGTATCAATTTAGAGACGATGATAATAATAGTAATAATATAATAGCTACCATTTATTGAGCACCTATTCTACCATGTGCCAGGCACTGTGCTAGGCACTTTTCGTACAATATCTAAATTAAATCCTCACAACAACCCTGTGAGGTAGGTATTATTATCATAATTTTACGTATGAGGGAACCAAGGCTCAGAGAGATTAAATAACTCTCCTATCACACAACCAAAAAGTAGTAGAGCTGGGATGCAAACCCAGAACAACCTGATTCCAAATCCCATGCTCCTGTGAGCTAGAGTAGAGGCAGAGAGAGGGAGAAGGGCCAAATTCAAGAAAGATTGTTGGAATGGATATGGAAGTGGAATGGATATGAACTTCTGAATGGTAAGATATGGGAAGGGATTTAAGCCCATAAATGTTTCTAGCTGGTGAGCCTATGTAGATTGTGAAGGTGGAGTGGACCTCAAGAGGTGGGGGAATGAATGGAGTCCATATAGACATGTCCACGGACATGTCCAGTGGGTAATAAAAATGCAGATCTAAGGATTGGAGGGCTATTGGGGATGGAGATACATATTTGAGAATCACCAGCATATCGTAGTCAGTTAAGGACATCCAGCTGGATGACACACCACTTGGGGAGTAAATAGGGAAGAGAAATGGACAGAAGATAGAACACTAGGAGCACCAACACTGAAGGCATGAGCAACAGTGGAAGAATTCTCAGGAAAGTCAGACATGGCAGAATCTGAGAAGAAAGAGAAATATAGGAGGCAGCCCTGCAGCGGTGGCTAGAGGAAGCCATGATGGGGATTGGGAGCAAACCAGATCTGCCAGAAGGCAGACAAGACTGAGTCAAAATTCCAACACAGCCATCACTTAACAAAACCCCCAGAAAGTATTTGTTACATGAACGAATGCCAAAATGCCCCCACATTGGTTTGCCCAAAGCCTGGAACTTAGCACATCTCACTCTTGACAGCCCAGTTCTGAAAACATGGAAGCCTCAGTGAGCCAGAGAATTTATAGAAGAGGCTTAAAGAGAATGTCATGATTTGTTTGAACTAGAAAATAAGGTTGAATAAGAAAAGCCTGGTACTCTATCTGAAGTCCCAGAAGTCCCCCTGCCCAGCCATGCTCTGGGCACCATGGTAACTGTGAAAGCAGGAAAGTGTGTGTGTGGCAGGGGGCAGGTGAGAACAGCCTGTCAGTTGTCCAGGGAGTCTTCTGCTGAGCCCAGGTTATGGGCCCTATCCAAGGAGGAAGATGATGGGGACATGTTGAGGAGGCCTGAGAGCTATGAGGAAGGGGTGAAAGGACAGAGGTAAATCAGGGGACCAGCCCCACAGCCTGGGAGATTGGGAGAGGGGCCAGCCCTCTGGGCAGGGACCAGCCCTGAGGCTTAAGTGGGTTTGCATAGGCACCTTTGTGTGTGTGTGCATGCATGCGTGTGTGTGTGTGTGTGTGTGTGTGTGTGTGTGTGTGTGTGTGTGTGAAAGAGAGCCCGAACACACTCTGGAAAGGTGAGCAGTCTCTCTCATATATGGGCAAGAGGCTGAGACTCTCCCCAGAAGCCTAGTGACTCAACATGCTGAAGTGTGAGTGTGGGGGCTAAATATCCTTGGGAAGCCCTGAGGGGCTGCTGAAGCAGGGTTTCTGGTCTCTTCGGTGGCTGGGCCTCCCCTGGTTTGGGGTTCACAGAAAGTCAAACAGCCCGAAATTCTTGGCTGCTCCAGGCCCAAGGAAAATTGGGGGAGGGAAAAAAGAAAGAAAAGAAACGTTTCAGGCCCAGAGGTGAGATGAGCCTGCTGGTTAGTAGGGTTAGGGGTCTGAAGGAACCAGCATACAACTTCAGGCAATGGGTGGTAGTGGTGGTGGTGGTGGGGGCATAGGAGGTAGGTTGGGGGTAGAGCAGAGATGCTTCCTGGAAGCCACTAGCAGATCGGGCAGCTAAGGCTCCCACTGCGCTTCTGGTAAGGGCTCAGCACAGGGAGAGCATGGATAGTCAATAAAGGTGACCACAGCTGTAGGGTGCAAGCAGCAGGCAAAAGGACAATTGGGAGGGGCAGATGAAGCAATTTTGTGTGTGTGGGTGTGCGTTAGTATTGTGGGTGAAAGTCAAGAGATTGGCACACATGCTTGAGGAGATCAGGTTAACAGTGGGATGGTGTACCCCAATGAATGGTGAAAGGAAACTGAGGTGGGGAAAAAGGTGGGGATAAGTGGCTGGGCATGTCCTCAAGGGCACGCCCGGGGTCAGTTCCTTAAGCATATGCACAGGTGAATGGAATACAAAGCAGCACCAGCAAGTCCTGTCCCAGGGACACAAAGGATCCTGGGAAGTCCTGTGCAGCGGTTAGTGCGCGGAGGGACAAGCTGGGGCTGGTGGCAGGTTAGGGGCTGCAGCAGCGATGGGCACCCCGCCATCGCTGAGCCCAGCAAGCAGTTAGCGCACCTAGATTTAGTTCCGTTTATTTCCCTTTCAGGTACCAGACAAAGTAAAAAAGACTGGACGTCTGTAGAGAGGGACGCAGCCAGCCAGGTTACGGGTGGGAGGAAGTGGGGAAGGGGCCCTGCTCACATCACATCCACAAAGAACTCACTGGGGTTTCCCATGGCCATGCGGAAGGACTGTCTGCTGGCGGTCAGTTCGGGGGGCACCGAGGCCAGATCACGGCCTGGAGGGGCTCCCGGGGGTCCCATGGCCGCGGGCGGTGGGGGCATCATCAACATGGGGGGGCCGTAGAGAGGGGGCACGCCAGGGGGGCCATAGCTCGGGTGCGTGTGATGGCTGCGCAGGCTGCTGGCCAGTGAGTGGTGGCTGCGGTGACTGTGCTCGCTGGCAGCGGGCCCCGAGCGCTCGCTGGGTGCCCGCTCGCGTGGCCCCCGCAGGCTGCTCCGGGTGGTGTGGTCTGACTCGCTGCCGCTGCCGCCTGACTTCGAGTCCCCGGTGGCCTTCGGGTCCTTCTCCTTCCTCCGGTCGCTACCGCTACGGTTGGAGCCACTGCTCCGGCTGCCTGTTAGGGACAGGTGGGGACGGGGTGGGGGATGCTCAAAAACTTGCGGAAGGAGCCTGGAGCTCGCCTGTGGTCCCCCCTTCACCTTACCTTCACTGTGCTGACTGCTGGCGCTGCCCCCGCCGTAGCTGTAGCCCAGCTCCGGGAAGCCTGGGTGCGGGTTGTAGGGGTGCGGGGGTGGCGGGTACTGGTAAGGGAAAGCCATGGGCCAAGGGGCGGCCCCCGGGTGCGGCAAAGGAGCCAGTGTGTCCTGGTCAGAGGCTCCGCTGGAGCCATCGTGATCGTGGAGGGACAGGTTGGCCATGTCTGTGGAGGGCAGGAGAGGGCCAGATGTTGGGACTCTCCCTCCAACCCCTTGCCTCAATGTCAGGAGAGAGGTCCCAGCTTAGGTTGGGTGGGTGCATCTGAGATGACAGCGACAGCAGTGGTAGTTTCCCAGCAGAACTGGGAGGAGGCACAGGCCAGAGATCTCTGGCTCCTTCAGACTCCCTCTGCCACCCAGCAGAAATGGCAGAGAGCGGGCCCTGCAGACACAGCTCCAGGGAGGCCCTTCTCAGGGAGGCCCCCAGTCACCACTCTGGGGCTTGAATGCCAAGTCCTGACCCTGAACTCCAAATCCCACGGAAAGCTCCTGCCAAGCCTTTGGCAGTGACGCCTCCTTCCTCAGTTGACTGGAAGGGGCAAAACTCATTCAGCAATTTCCTCCTCTGATCCTCTATTTCAGGGGCATCAAACTCATTTTCATCAGGGGCCACATCAGCCTCAAGGTCGCCTTCCAGAGGCTGAGTGCAATTTTAGGACTGTGTAAATGTAACTACTCCTTAATTAGAGGCAAGGAGCTTGGCTCTGCCGAAGGGTAGAAACAAGGTGCCAGGCTGGACAAAACAAGGTCGAGGGCTGGATTTGGCTGCAGGCCTTGTGTCTGCCACCCGACTTAGAGGGTAAAAGGTAGGGGGACGTGGCACACTGAAATACCAGACCACCACCAGGCAATGCATACCTGCAATTCATTAGGCATATCACAAAGCACTCCATCTCATGCAAATGTTACCAACACCTGATGAAGAAGGTGTTAGGCACATTTTTTTCCAAATGAGCTGAGTGCGGTCCAGAGAGGTTACATGATCAGCCTGAGGTTAACCCAAACACTAGCCAGAACAGAATCTAAAAGGTGCTTACTTTTTTACATTTCCAAATGAGGTTATTAATAAGTAGCAGTTTGGGGAAATTTAGGTGAAATTTTGCCCTCGCCTCTAACCTAACACTAAAAAGTATACCCATTAAAAGCCAGAATGGCCTTGGCTGGTATAGCTCAATGGATTGAGCATGGGCCTGCAAACCAAAGGATCATGATTCGATTCCCAGTCAGGGCACGTGCCTGGGTTGCAGGCCAGTTCCCAGCGGGGGATGCATGAGAGGCAACCATACATTGATATTTCTCTCCTCCTCTCTTTCCCTTCCCATCTAAAGATAAATAAATAAAATCTTTTAAAAAAAGCCAGAATGAACATAGGGGCTTTCAGAACCTTCCCATGTAGAAGGCAACCGGCAGGCAACCGGCAGGCAACCGGCCTGAATCAATTTTCTGGTGCTGCTGGGGTGGGGAGGGCCCAGAAAGAGAATGACTTAGGTGCCTCCCCTGTGCTCTCCACCCCATTCCCAGCCAGGCCTGACATTTGTCTCACTGTATTACATCACTTCTTTCATGACTCTGCCTCCCCTGGTTAATTGTGTACCACCCGTTAAGGGCAAGGATGCCCCTACCAATTCTGGAACTGCCTGGGAGGGAGTATTAGGGGCCACTAGGACCAAAGACCTATCTAGAACACCCTTTGCTCACACCCCACCTCGACCAGGTCCGAGCTCTGAGAGAGCTGCAACTGCCATAGGGGCCAGCTGCCAGATATAGACTGAGCCCTTTGTTCCGAGCCCTTAAGTAAGCCAGCCCAACCTTCCAGAGGAGAAGAGATAAGGAGAGGGGGCTCAGAGGGGGTAAAGCAGCCAGTAAAGCCTGCCAGCCAAGCCATGAACTTGTCAAGGCTAGCAGCTAGCATGGAAGGTGGTGGCGGTGGGAAGCAGGGGCCTGCCTTGGCTCCTGCTCAAAGAACTGATGACTATTTCAGCCTCCAGGCTGTTGTCCCAAGGGGAGTGACTCTGTTCTCCTGGGGCTGTGCAGGTTCTCAGCTCTTCCCTTGGAACCTGCCACACTCCCAGCTCAGGGGATCTCAGCCCTTGAGAAGGAAAAGGCCTGTTCTGTGAGCATCTCCCTGAGCTGGGCCTCTGGTGGCCTTGGTCCATGGGTACAAGATCCAGGAGGCCCCAGGGATGGAACAATGTCTCTTGAGTGAAAGCCACAGCTACTCTGTAAAGCTTTATATGTCCCTGAAAATTTGGGAGCATGGCTAAGGATGACAATAACCACATTTGATTTAGCCCAAGAAACCACTGATCATAAGATGCACTCAATTTCAAAGATACAGAAATGTGAAAAAAAAGAGTTCATCTTAGAATCAATTAGATATATGAATAATGGACAACTTTTTCAGGGCACTTGCTGTGGGCCAAAGATGATGCTAAAAGCATTATATACATTGTATTGTCCTCAAAACAGCTCTATGAGTTAGGGTCTACTATTACCTCCACCTTACAGACCAACAGATTGAGGCACCGAGAAGCTGTGTCACTCACTCCTGTTCATCCAGTAAGGATGGAGCTGGAATTTGAACTTGGAACTATTTAACTCCAAAACCGTGTGCATCTATCACTATTCCATGGGACCACACTGGAGCTGCTGAGGGCCAGGGACCCACCTTCCACCAGGACCTGCGCTCTGCAAAAGAACCTTTCTAGTCCCTAGAATCTAATCTGAAGCATTGTAAGAGTTAGTGTTTGGACTTCAGCCGGCACCACAGGACTGACAGAAGGTCCCCTCAGGCAGAGGTGGCTGCTGGCGGAGGGTTTCAGCTGTCCTGTTTTGAAGACTCCCCTTCCTGAGGGCTGTCCTTAGGTTTAGAAAGAGAAGTGGGGTAGGGTTCCATGTAGACCTCTGTTGCTTAATAACTCTCATTGGCTCTGAATTCTTTAAGGATCAAGTCCAACTTCTCAGTACTTCTCAACTTCTAACAGAGTTCTGTACAACTGGCCCTGGTAGCTTCACCAGCTCTATCTGGAGGCAGAGACCCCCAACAGGGGTCTGAGAAAGCTGTGGACCTGGGGCCTCAGGCCAGTCCTAGGTCCTGTCCTGACCAAACTGGTCTGATGCTGGGAGGCTGCCCAGGGGCCAAGGGCAGGAACTCTAGCTTTGCTGAGACAATGTTTCTGTAAAATCCCACACTGCTCAGCCCTGGAAGGTGGGCAGAACAAAGGCTCTGCGGCCAGAAAGACCTGGACCCATGGCCTAGCCCCTCTGCTTCCAGCTGTGAGACCGGGATGGGCTATATATAACTTCTACATGTCTCAGTTTCCTTATCTGAAAACAGAAAAAGTAATCCATCTTCCCTAGGGTGACAAGAGGTTGTGAGGACTGAGTAATAGAGGGAGATGATGCTTTAAAAAAAAATTAGCATGGTGCCAGGCACAGAACAAGCACTTAGGAAATGCCAGCCCTTCCAGGGAGATACAGGCAGGTGAAGAAAGTGAACTGGGCTCAGCTTCCACCACAAGATGCTTAGGCCTTGACCTGGGACCCCAGCTCTGCTCTCCCCTCCTCTGCGTTCCCTGGTGTTTGCTGCCACACCCCTGGGCACCACCCCATTCCCAGCCAGGAAACAGGGCAAGGAGGTAGGAAGGCACATACTGCCACAGAGGTCGCCGAAGATGTAGTAGCACTGCTCAGAGAAGGTGATCTTGTTGACGGTGTGGCGGATGAAGCCAGCTTTCAGCAGGTTGCTGGCATACTTGCGGGCCTCTCGCCGGTCGGTGAAGCCTTCCACGTTGTGGTACAGCCAGTCTACCACATCTGAGCCTGGAGACAAGGCCGCCATTTGATTGGGAAGCCCAGCTGACTGGGGCTCATCTGGCCTCACAGAGGCAATGAGAGGCTGGGCCTGGTTCCAGCCCAAGGGAGTTCTTGGGCCCCCAGCCTGTCCTGCTCCCTCACTGCCAACCCCCTCCTTCATTCCACAATGGGGACTGCTCACCGATGAACGCATTGGGGATAGTGATCTTGAGCCACATGCGGTCTCGGACCTCCAGGCCTGATTCAGGGGAGGCCATGGCTTTCACGATGGCGGCCATGTCACTGTGGATGGACAGGTGGAAGTCATCTAGGCCTGGGGGTGGGAGGTAAAATGGTGAGGCAGAAAGGGGCTGTAGAGTTAGGCAGACAGAAGTTTGCATTATAGCTCTACCTCCTAATAATATGGACTAGCATTGGTCAAGTTACCAACTTCCTGGACACTCAGTTTCCCTTTCTGTAAAAAATAGGGACTATAACATCTATTTGACAAAAATGTTTGATGAGAGTTAAATAATGTAAATGAAGGTGCTTAATATAATGCAAAGTGTGTGTTATAATGAAAATGGCAGTCATTGCATGCTTAGTTTATGGCACACACTGTGACCAATGCATCTTCTATTACCACATTAAACCCCTAGGAACCTGGCAAAGTGCACATCATCAGTCCCATTTATAAGAGGAAACTGAGGCCCACTGGGTGCTCACTACTGGTTCAGAAGCAAACACCGTTTAGTGAGGGTCAGGTGTCCACCGAGGGAAGGTGCAGTGCGAGGCGGCTGGAATGAGCTGAGTCCCCTCTCCGGCCCCCTCTGACTTTCAAGCAAGAGTTTCCACATGGGCCTTCATCAATCCCTCTCACCTGGGCCTGTCTGCTGGGGCCAGGGGACAGGGCTGGACACTCACGCTCTGTGTCAGGGATGGAGCTGGTGATGGAGGAGCTGGTGGAGGTGATGGTGCTCAGGGAGGGGCTCATGCCATAGGCAGGGAAGGTGCCAGTCATGGCCGCAGTGTGGGAGACCCAGGCTGCAGGGTCGATGGGCCGGATGGGCTCGCCTGTGAGGGAGGATAAGAGGTTTGGGGCTGCCCACCCTGCCAGGTGCTGGGTCAGCAGGGTAGGTGTGAGGGTTCAAGGCAACAGAGAAGGCAGGAGAGACAGGGCTCACATATGCCAGGAACCAGTTTAGGGCCAAGTCCCCCATCCACTTACTCCTGGGCAGTGTGAAGCAACCACGTGGACTTGGGTCCCAGCACTTGGCTACAGTCAGGGTGATAGGCCTGAAAGCAAGGGTGTCCCTAGTGAGGGTGGGTTGTGTGGAGGCCAGACCAAACCCCTTGCCTGTGAGCCAGAATGCCAGCCCCGCCTCTGCAATGCCCCACCCCATCCTTACCCTGGTTTGTGCACAATCTCCCGCAGGACCCGAACCGCATCATCATTACTCATGTTCTCAAAGTTGATCTCGTTTACCTGGGAAAGAGGAGCAGGAGTGGGATAAGCAGCTGTGCAGGGGCAGGGGTTAGGAGAGCTTGGTGGATTGGGGTGGGGGGGGTCTTCCCATACCAAGAAGGAGCCTCTGAATAGGGTAGGAAGAATGTGAGGGTACAGAGGGTATATCTCCCCAACTCCCTATCCACACCACCAGCCACGGTGGACAATGGTACCTGTAACAGCATATCTCCTGGCTCGATGCGTCCATCAGCAGCCACAGCCCCGCCCTTCATGATAGAGCCAATGTAGATCCCTCCGTCACCGCGCTCATTGCTTTGGCCCACGATGGAGATGCCCAAGAAGTTATACTTTTCTACAGGGAGTAATAAAACCTTGAGTGGGGAGAGAGGTTCCCACCCAAATTCTGAGCCCCTTATTAGAGAGAGTGGAAAGGGAGGGAAACTAGCATTTATTGAACTGGAATCAGGCACTGTGTTCGGCATGCTCAAACAGGCTTTTGTTTAATTCGTATTGTATGTGAGGCACGGATTCTCAGTCCCATTTTACAGAGGAGACAATTGAAGTTAGAGAGTTCAAGTGACTTCTCCAAGCCGTTAAGCGGCAAAACCAGTGCTCAAACTCAGATTTAAATTCCAAAGTTGGGGCTTTTTTCACTACAGCCAGCTATCTACTAAAAAAATGTACTTAGGGCAGAAATCAGACACTAAGAATGCAATGGATAAAAAATGGAAAGGGGAAAGGAATCACAAATCGCTTCCTCCAGGAAGCCTTCCCGGATGCCTTTCTCTGCTTCCATAGCTCTCTGTACTTCTCTCTATAAAAGTCATGATCATGACATACTGAAATAATCAGTTTATGTTTATGAAAGAGAACTCCTTCAGGGCAGGGAACATATCTTGGGCCTCTTTAAATTCCTTGGGTCTGCCCAATGTCTGGCACACAGTAGGTACTTAGGAGTGTTGTTTCACCAGACTCACCCATGTTGAGAGTCACAGTGATGATGTTGAGTGACATGGTGGAGTCCGTGATGCTGCTGAAGGATGAGGACTGAAATAGACAGAGACTCTGAGCAGCAGGCAGGGGTGGCGGGAACACATGGCTCCCCGCTAGCTCTCCCACACGGTGAGTCCACAGCACCAGCTCCCTTCTAAGGTTCTAAACACTGTCTGACCCAAGGGGAGGGGATCTAAGGAAGCACAAGCCCTGGCCCTGGCCCACCCGCCCCTAGCATCCCAGGTCCCATACCCGCTCAATCCGGGAAACCTTCTGCTTCCGCCGTCGCCGCTTATGTCTTCTCATCAGGCGTGAGGCACTGCTCTGCTCTGTGGAGCTGCTGAACCTGCGGGGCCCACAGTCGTTCCCCACCAGGCTGGCCTAGCCCTGCCCCATAAGAGGCACTGCAGGGCCCGGGTCCCCAGCACAAAGCCCACCTCCCTCCCAGTATCCTCAGGGTTCAGGGTTCCTTAGGGCTCACCTGCCCCACAGTACCCATGAAACCAAAGCCCCACCTGCTGGTGGAGTCGTCCTCCTCCGAATCAAAGAAGCTGGTGGTCTCCAACTCACTGCTCATGAGGGTGGACGAGCTGTCATAACCCCCTGGCTCTCGCCGCCTCTCCCCCTTTGCAGTTCCATTTAGCCGGGCTGCTGTAGGGGATGGAGGCAGCTGGGTTAGTATTCAGTGCAGCAGGGGAGGGAGGAGAGAGGCACAGGCCAGGAGCTACCCTGGGGCCAGTGCTCAAGAAGTTTGGCAGAGAGGTGGGCAGTTGAGGAGAAGCTGTGGGGAGGGCACGGGGGTGGGGAAGGCGTAGACGCACTGTGCTCTGGGCCGTCCCTCCGGCGTGGCCGTTCCCGCTGGGCAGATACCAAGGAGTCCGTCTCTGTGTCGTTGTCCAGATTCTCCTGGCTGCCCCCTCCAGCATGAGGGCTGCAGGGAAGAGAGGACTTGGTGGGAGAGTGGGCAGGCTGGGGGCTCCCTCCCCCAGCCCTGGGCTGAGCTGACATGGCCCTCCCCCGTGGGCCCTGCCCACTCTCAGGTCACACTCACTGGAAGGAGGGGGGCCTGGAGTCCCCAATGCCTCCTGTACGCTCCATGGGCGGCGGCAGCTCGGATGGGTTATCAGCACAGAAGGGTGCTGGCTCTGGGTGTGAGCCCTCAGCTGACACCAGCTGAAGGGGAGGGAGAGGGTAGGTAATATGGCATCGGGGCGCCCGGGAGAAGTATGACAGTTGCCTCCTGGCAGGGAATGAAGACTTGGGGAGAATGAAGCAGGGTACATGGAGGGAGAAAAGACAGGGCCATGCAAGGACAGGAGACCCACTGCCAGGTTGTAGGGTGGCAGGGAAGCATGGGTTGATAGGGTGGAATGGTGGCTGAGAACAAGGGTCCAAAGCAGAGGTCAGCAGGTGACACAGGGGAACCTGAGGTAAAGTGCCACAAAGGTCACAGGGGACAATTTTGTCTATAATGTGTGTTTCTGTATCTGCCTTTCCCCCTTTACACCACCCCAATACTTTTTCTAAATTACAGATTTATTTATTTTTAGAGAGGGGAAGGGAGAAAGAGGGAGAAACATCAATGTGTGGTTGCTTCTCTTGCGCCCCCTTCTGGGACCTGGCCCACAACCCAGGCCTGTGCCCTGACTCTGGGAATGGAACCTGTGACCCTTTGGTCTGTGGGACGACCCTCCAACCACTGAGCCATACCAGCCAGGGCCCACTCCCACACTTTTCACAAGGCTATAGAATCTTGGATAGATTCAGATATCGAAGCATAAAACCATGAGCTATAATCTTAGCGATGGCTCTCCTCCATCCAGCCCATGATAGGAACGTGAGTGGAGCGAGGGTTGAGGAAGGATCCTTACCCAGGACACCACCCGGCCATTGAAGCAGGGCAGCTTGGCATTGTCATCCGAGATCTCCTCCTTCACCACTCTGCAGGGAAAGAGGGAGTGTCGTGAGCTTTTTGGGGTAGAGATGGAAGTGTCTTTACAACCCCAACTCTCAGGGACTCTACCTAAACTGGGAATCAAACTCCCAGCCCAAGCCTGTCCAGCCCGACCCCTGGGAGCAGGGGTTGGGGTGACCCACTGCCTTCCTGGGGTGTGCTCTCAGTCATCAGGTGACTGCAAATTACTCCCGACAAGTCACTGTCCCCCATGAGTACAGCCACTCCCTAGAATCTTAAGATCGCTTTACTCATCCTCAATGAGGCTCTCATGGGTGGGACTTTTTCTTTCCCTCTGACCCTAAACTAGGAAAAAGCATACCCTCATTACTGTCCTTCCCTTCTCAGCTGGGAATCCTGACATTCTTCCAGGAGGTGTGGATGAGGAATTTAAAGAAATTAGGAAAGAAAGGGGAGAAGGCATTTACGGAACATCCTCCACTGCCATTATGATAATAGTAACAATTGCCCTCATTTACTGAACATGTACTGTGGGCTAAGCACTAAATGAACACTTTACTTATATCTTTTCATTTAATGCAGCAATGCCACAAGAGAGATACAAGCGGGGAAGTTAAAGCTCAGTAGGTTCAGAAATTCACACCAGTAATAAGCAAAGCTCTGGAATTTGAATCCTCATCAGCCTGACTTCAAAGCCTTCATTTCCACCAATTATACCATCTTATCTTCTTATAGTTATACTATATAATCATCCATCAGCCCCACTGTATGGACAACATAATCCCCATTTTATGAATAAAGAACTGAGAAACATTCAGTAATCTACTCAAAGTCACAGAGCTAGAAGATGTCGGAGCTGGGACTCAACCCCAAGCTTGTCTGACTCCCAAACCCACACTCTTTCCACTGTACTTCACATTATTTCCTGCACAGTAACAGAGGTGACATGGGTCTGTGGAGGGTGAGGTGGAGAAGACAGTGATGTGGGTCGGGGGTGGGAGGAGGGCACAGGCCTGCAGTGAGGCGCGGAGTCAGATCATGGCTACAGTCGGGCCAACGAAAGACACAGGAACAGCTGGCAGACCCGAGACTGCACCAAACACCCAGGAGTACGGAGCTGGAAAGACATGATTAGGGGCAAGAGAAAGACACATGACTGGAGTTGTGAGCAGACAGGGAAGACAGCAAGGAGGCTGGGAAGCCCAGTAGGCTCTCTCTTGAAGAGCTTCTGCCCGGAGCTGGGAACGTGCTTGGCTCCTTGTGATGCTCACATTCTTGGACTCACAGCCAAGTTCGAAGGCCGAGCCTACCCTCCTCCCTCCCATTCAGCTCTGGATCTTCCACCATTTCCAGCCCCACTGCAGCCCTGAGAAAGCAGCTCAAATCATCATGCTCAGGGCCATCGTGGCAGAAAGCCTAGAGACAGAACAGGCTAGAAAGAAGGGACAGAGAGGGAGGTAGCTCAGACCTATCAGCCAGTCCGGCCACGGGGAACCCTAAACTTGCAGCCCCCTCTGGGAGCTGTGGCTCAAAAGAAAAGGGGGTACGTGGGCCACACGGCAGGGACTCTGTGACCTGCTTTACAGAGGGTCTTCCTATGGTGGGAAACTGCTGCCGAGTCCCCACAACCCCATCCCCTAGCAGGCCCCACCGCACAGCTCCAGCCACAGATGTTTCCTCTCTTTCTGGGGGTCACTGACAGGTCGCCAAGGCTTTGCTGACTCACAATGATCAGCTGATCTTTGGCAGCCTTGGGGGACCTCAGACAGGCCCCTACCCCCCACAGTGGAGCTAAATGGCTCAAGGTTCCATTGCACTCACACACACGTACAGCCCCAAATGGAGTCAGTCAAATCTGGGTTCGAATTCCAGTTCTGCAACTCATTAGCTCTCCCGTCTTAGAGAAGTTTAATTTCCCCAAGCCTTTGTCTCACACTGGTAAATGGGATGTGTACATGCCTGGCATGGTCCAGGCATACAATAAAAGCTAGTTTCTAACTTTGTCAATTTGTAGCAGGATCCATACTCCCTTTCTAACTAGGTGTATGTTTGTAAGAGCAAGGACCAAACAAATCTGCTTGTCATTCGTTGTTCATGCAATTAAAAAGCCTTTGCTGAGAGTCCGGTGAGTTTTAAGTCTTGTGCTTGCCATTGTATGAAATTCAGGAAGCTTCAGACCTGACCCTGCCCGGTTCTCAGAGGTTACCGTCCAGTGGACAGTTCACATCAGCATACTGCGTGTGGGAAGCGGTTAGAGTGGTGAGGCCAGCAGAGGTGTTCACTGGACAGACATCTCCTGAGTGTTACTTAGGTAGCAGGTCCTGGCTAGGAGCAAGGTATAGAAAAATAGAATAAAGTACCATAACTTTAAAAGCTCAACCCAGACAACAGAAGAATTTGGACAGGGAGAGGCCAGGGGAAGAAGTGTGCTCCAGGCAGAAGGCCCAGAGACAGGACACTGTGACATGGAGCAGGGAGCGGCATAATCAGTGGCCCCACTTCCCATGGTATCCCCTCCCACAGCTCAAGGCCACTCTAGCAACGGGTACCTTGTTCTTCTATCCACTATCTTCTTAGTGCTAAACAAGCTTATTCTTCCTCCATTTCCCAAGTAATTTAAGAGGGTTGGGCCTACCCCAAGTGTGACAAATACTTCTGGATACCAGATGGAGGGTGGGTAGTCCTCAGGCCTCACAAGCCAGTACCAAAGAGGGTCAGCCTGCAGAGAATGGAGAGACAGCAGCCTTCCTCCCCGACCCACTTTCCCCTGTGTCAGCAGGGGTCACTGGCCTTTCTGCCTGACCCTCCCCTCATGGGGCTGGGATAAGTGGCAGCCCTATCCCTCTACAGTTTGTCAAGGCTCAGCATCTCCCTCAGAGAGGATGCATCTGTAAAATGGGGATAATAATAATACCACAGTTGTGTGATTCCGGCCTTCGACTCTGGAGCCAGATTCCCGATGTTGAATCAAGCTCTGCTACTGACTGGCCAGGCTCTGTGAGCTTGGGTAAGTTACTTCAGGTTCCTGTGCTCTAGCTTCCTCATCTGTAAACTGGGCATATTACTAACTGCTTTATAGGGTTGTTAAGAGGGAAAAGCACTTAGATCGGTGCCTGGTACACTGTAAGAAGCACTGTAAAAAGAGTTTGTTAAAAAATATATAAACATACACATATGCATTCCTCTATTCCTCCGCTATTAGTCCTCTGTGATAACCCTACCAAGTCTGCTCATTAATCCTTCTGGGGATAAAAACAAAACTAATCTCCTCCACTTCATTTTTAGCATTGTTCTCAACCCTGTTAAAATGGCCTACTCTGATATTTTGTAAAGGATGTTTCAAGTACCGGTGATGTATGCAAGATGTGTTTAGGAGTTACCTGAATGAACATGGTTTAATTCAATAGTTAATACTTATTTTTAACATATCACAGAAAGAAATATAAATAGAAAATCAGATGATTTCATATTATTGATTTGGTAAGAAAGCTAAGCTTTTGAAAGCTAAGAAAGAGTGAGTAGACTGACAGTGAACTTGAAGAACAAAAGTAAGTCAAAAGTGAGTGGATATGATGGGGGCCCTCCTGTGAATACAGTTAGGCCTGGCTAGACAGCAGCCTGGGGAGAGTGGCAGCCAGCCCCAGGGTGGCCCCAGGGTAGCCCCAGTGCACTGGACTCTAGCTGACTTGCCCTAAGCCCACACCCTGAGGTAGTATCTCATTTTCTCCTAACTCTGTTCTTCCCTTAACCCCACCGCCACCCCCCCCACCCCTGCAGATCAATTCATGCCTCCTCAGATTCTTCCAATCAGGGGTGTCTGTCTCTGGACCAAGGTCACACAATGAGTATACACCAGGAGCTCCCCACTGTCCACGCCCACCCCCACCCCAGGGTAAGTATAACAACAGAAAGAGGAAGAATTAGAAAAACTCTCACACGTATGAGCTCTTGGGCTCATCAAACCCTGAGTTCCAGGGGGAAAGATGACAGCAAAATATGCCAGGCAGAGAAGAGAGAAGCTGCTTGCTTCTCAGGGTCAGGAGAGCTGGGGTCATGGGAGTGAAGCCAGACTGATGAACACTGGGGAGAGAAGACTGTCTTCCCTCACTCAGCCTTGGCTCCAGAGAGTAGTGCAGGCCTCAGGCTAGGGCCAGAGAGGCTGCCTTCAGGCCTGGAGGGCTCGGGAAGGCCTTCCCCACAGGCTTCCAGGCCCAGCGCCCAGTTAGTGTGGGGGCCTCCTCCTCCCCCAGTCCCCTAGGAGTTGGTGGGGGGAGTGTGAGGGGATGGCCAGGCTCCCCCTCCCAAGCCAGCTGCTACAGAACCTTTCGGTTCCAACATTCCATCCCTTCTTAAAGGGGAAGTCCTTGCTCCCAAACTCTGCCTGTCCAAGGCTCCGCAGCTAGTGGAGAAGACCCGGCTAGGAAGGGAAGATGAACACCAAGAGACTTCCAGATCCTCCCATTCAGGCTCTGAGGCCCTTTCCAAGGCCACCATCTGGAGGAAAAAGGCCCTAATTCCGAGAGGAAATCAGCACCTGGGCTAGTGGTGGTGACTCCTCTTTAGGGGTCAGGTACTCTGCACCTTTGACAACATCCCACACACCGCACAAAAAAAGGGGGAGCGGCTAAATAAACATCAGGTCTGCAGGCCTTAGCGTACAGCCTGGCGCCGGAGCACCCCTAGCTTCCCCCTCCCCTCAGTTCAAAGTCCCACAGCACAGCCCTGAGATGCCCGGTACTCCAAATATGGCTCGGAGTTGTGGAGCTGAAAAGATGGAGAAGGAGAAGGCCAAGTGCCAAACACCCTAAGTCTGTGTTAAAAGGTGGCTCCTTGGGCAGGAGGGTGGGGGTCTCCGCTCTGGAACTGGGTGGAGGGTGGGGGTGTGTGTCAGTCGGTGTGGGCCGTTGGTCTCTGAGAGGTAAGGGGGCTTCCTGGGCTGGTACTCTGATTGCTCTTGGGGAGTTAGACGTCCCCCTAAACTGGAGGGGGCGGGGGGCAAAGTACCCACAAGAGCGAAAGGGGAGTCCCTAGAGAGGCTGGAACTTCGGCATCTGGAAAAAACCAAGGGGAGCCCAATGGCCGAGTCGCTCCTTAAGATCCAGAGTAGGGCTAGAAGCCAGTGTGGCAAGGGGAATGCAAATTGGCCGAGTGGCCGCTAGAAGCCGGAGGGGCCGGGGTCTCCCAGAGGCGAGGTGGGGGCCATCCTCACCCGAAATCGTCGTCCATAGACTTGAAGAAGAACTTATAGCTGGGTCGCTGTAGAACGCCCTTAAAGTCCGCCAAGGTGACGCGCTCGGCGGGCAGGGGCAGCTTCACCAGGTACGGTGTCTCCTGCCCATCCAGGTGGTAGATGATCTTAGTCTCGCCCATGGCTCCGGCCTCGGGCCCCGCGGCCGGGCCGGGCCTCTCCGGCGACGGCGGCGCTCGGCGCGGCCCAGTGGTTCAGCCCAGCTCCGCGGCCAGCCACGGCGCCAGCTCCCTTGTTCTTCGGCCGCTCCCGGGTCCCAGCGCCGCCTACCGCCGCCGAGGCCGCCGCTTCCGCTCCCCACTCTGCTAGATCGGCTAGCGACGGCGACTCTTCCGGTGGCCGTGGCCCTCCAGGGTCTGGGCTGCGGCCCGGCCCGCTCCCCTCCAAGGGCCCCGGCGCCGCCCCGCCCCGGCGCGGCCCCGCCCCCCAGGCCTCCGCGGAGCCGCGCTGGCCGCGCAGCAGATGGCCTGGCCCTCGGCCCGGCCCGAGGACACCCCGCCCACCCACCCGGCGGCGCTTGCCGGGTCCTGCGTTCGGGTTCCAGGCCCGCGGGGAGCTTGGCAGCCGTCCTCTAGGTCCCCAGAAAGGAAGGGCCAATGTCCCCAGGATGACCGTGTTGCCTGGACTCTTCAAGGCCCGGGCTCAGGACCCAGCGGGGATCGGCTGCTCCTCTGAATCTGGGAGGGGTGTAATGCAGAGGTCGCTTTGGTCCCCAGACGTTGGTGGGTAGCGATTCTGACATGTATCACTGGGGGAAAGTAACCTCGACATGCCCTTTAGGGTCTGTTAAACTAGCTGCTGTCACTGAGTCTACTAAAAGGAACTCCTTGAGGACAGAACAGGCTCTGGTGTTGATTCCTTCTTACAACCTCAGTACCTAGGTGCAAAGCCGTGGTTTAACAAATGGACTGAATGCAGAATGAGTGCATGAATGACGGGCTTATGACTGGGACAGTAAGTCTCAAACCAGGACTGGGTATAATCGGTTCCTAACAGACTTCCTCACACCTTCGCTTTTAAATTTAATTTAAAAAATTTAAACTGATTTTTAGAGAGAGAGGAAGTGGGTGGGGGGAGAAAGAGACATTGAGAGAGTCTGTTGTCCCACTGATTTATGCATTCATTGGTTACTTCTTGCATGTGCTCTGACTAGAGATCGAACCCGAAACCTTGGTTTATGGGTTCAACCCGCAACCTCTAACCAACTGAGCTATCTGGTCAGGGCCCTCTTAGCTTTTAATTAATTTAATAAATACTGAGTGCTTACTATATGCAAGGAATACTGCATGAGATACAGCAAAAACAAGACAGATAAGGCTTTTTTCAGAATCTTGTCTGGAAGGAAGCTTGTAAATAAACTTCAGAACAACAAATGCTATGAAAAAGATAAATTGGAGTGATGTGATGTTACAGAGGATTGTGGGTGGTCAGAGAACACCTCTTCCATCTGAGCTAAAACCTAGAACTAATGAGGAAGCAGCTGTGAGAAGGTCTGGTCTCGGGGAAGAGCATTCCAGGTAGAGGGCACAGCCAAGTATAAGGGCTCAAGGCAGGAATAAACTGGCCAAATCTGAGGAAAAGAAGGCTATCGTGACTACAGGGATAGTGTTAGATGAGGCTGGAGTGTGGATGGGACCAGCTCACACAATAACAAGTGAGGACTCCTTCCACTCCACTTTGTACATTATTGCCAAATAGCATTTCAAGAGTAAGTACCCCTTTCAGACACCTCTTCTGCTCAGAAACTTCTCCACATTCCCCTGTGCTTTTCAAATATTCTTAGTATGATATTGCAAGCCCTCCATAATCTAACCCAGGGGTTTTCAACCTCTGGGCCATGGATCATTACCAGTCTGTGTCCTGTTGGGAACCAGCTGTACAGCAGAAGGTGAGATTTAATGTAATGTGCTTGAATCATCCTAGGCACTATCCCCATCTCCCCATCCCTGCCCATGGGAAAATTGTCTTTCATGAAACCAGTCACTAGTGCCAAAAAGGTTGGAGACCGCTGATCTAACCTATACCTTTACAGCCTTTTGTTTCATTATATCCTGGTTAAATTTTTGACTTTAACAAATCAACTTATTAGCTAACTCTTGCATAAAATTTATATATTTCCACTTCATACTCTTCCTTTTATTTTTTTAAACTGAATTTATTGGGTAATAAATATTAATATAATTATGTAGGTTTCAGGCATATGATTCTATAATACATCATCTGTATGTTGTATTGTGTTCACCCCCTACCTTCCCTTTAAATTTCTATCAAAGCAATGTGTGCAGAGTAAAATAGTATTAAGCTTTTAATAACAATCCTGTCTCACTTCCTTCCCCACCCCAGTATCGTTTTTTTTAGCTCAGACTATTTACTGATTTGTGCATTCTAGACATTGCTTATTGATTTCTAATAATGATTGATATTTTTCTTCCACCACCCCCTACCTTATTAAAATAGTAAAATCCCACTTTTTGGTTCTCAATATAGTACTTGGTATTGACATTTTGACTACAAATAAATGCTTCCTTCATAATTTTTTCTTTCTCCTGGCATTATTGCCTAGCTTTTTCATTTGCTTTTTTATGTAATATAGTGTACCTATCATTTTCTTTCTACATAATCTGGTAGTTTCTCAGCACGTTTGTTCACTCAGTCAAATACAAGCAAACCTTGGAGATCTTGCAGGTTTGGCTCCAGACCACCACAATAAAGACAATATTGCACTAGAGTCACATGAATTCTTAGGTTTCCCAGTGCATAAAAAAGTTATGTTTATACTATACTCTAAAGTGTGCAATAGCAGTTTTTAAAAATGTACATACCTTAATTAAAAATACTTTGTTGGAAAAATGACACCAATAGACTTGGTCAGTGTAGCCTTGCCACAACCTTCATTTTCTAAAAAAAATATTTGTAAAGTGTAATAAAATCAAGCTCAATAAAATGAGGTATGCCTTAGTACTAGAAAATCCATTTTCTTTCCCGGAGCCTTCAATCCTCTTGCTCTGATCTGCACTGATGACCATCTGAGCGTGTGCACAGCTGCCATCCTAGAACTTCTTTGCATCATCTGCAAAATTCTCCTGACCTCTCCTCCATGTTGGATTCACATTTCCTTGATATTCCTTTGCTTTAGTAAAATATATCTTTGGGTAAATTCCCTTGAAAGCATGGGACATTGCAAATCTGAAAATGATTCTGTAATTTGTCTTCAGAATGTTTTTTAAAAGATTTTATTTATTTACCCCTAGAAAGAGAGGAAGGGAGAAAGAGAGGGAGAGAAACATCAGTGTGTGGTTTCCTCTTGTATGCCTCCCACTGGGGACCCAGCCCACAACACTGGCATGTGCACTGACTGGGAATTGAACTTATAACCTTTGGTTTATAGGTTAGCACCCAATCCACTGAGCCACACCAGCCAGGGCTGCATATGATTTTTAAATTCTCTCTAGAAGTCTTTAGGAAGTACTCTTTATCCTTGCAGTTGAAATTTCCTGGTGTTATGCCTTGGTGCTCATTCACTGATAGGCACCCTTTCCATCCAGAAATTCAATATTTTCTTGAATTATTTAATAACATTACTACCATTTCCCCCATCCTTTCTGCAACTCCTCTTGGACGTTTGACCTTCAGGATTGAGCCTTTTTTTCTCCTTTAGTATCCAATTCCTTTTTATTTTAAAATGACTTCACCTTGTTGCAAGATGTTCTTAATATTATTCCCAACCTTTCCTTTATTCAGTTGAACAGGTAAAACGGTCACATTGAAGATTTTGAAGATTGTATGGACGGATTCAGGTTGTATGGATGGATAGTCTCCCTCATTTTTGGTTCTCAAATTCCCCAGTTCTCAGTAGAAGGAAAGTCCATTTTTCATTTCTTGTAACTCTTTTGTTCCTCCTTCTCATAGCACTTTATTCATCCTCTTTGAATTTTGAGAATTATAGCATCACCCCTTATGTTTTCAAAAGCTCCCTTTGTCATTTTTCCCTTGATTTCAATTTTGCTTTGGTCTCTTGCCTTCTACTGACATGTTGGAAGTTTCCTGAATGTTTGATGGCCCTTGGCAGTCTATTCCCATTTAAGAGTGAGATCCTAAAAAACTGACTGGAAGTTCTGTCCAAGGTTTATTAACAGGTTTCAATGTAACAGGTGACCAAGTGAGGGAAAGGTGCCTTTCCCCCCCCCCCCCAAGAAACAAAATAATATATATTCTTAGGCCTTTTTCTGCAATTTTTTCAGCTTGGAGATATAAAATTAATGTGTGCTAATATTCAGAGCCCTAACACTCAATTACTTTCACTAAATCCTTCCATTTCAATCTAGCCCCTCACCCCAACCCTATTAACTGTTGTTGAATCTGGATGCCCTAATAGTTTACATTTTCTATTAAGTTCTGAAATTTCTTGGGGTTTTCATTCCTTGTGCAAGGCACTCATGGGCCATCAGTCTAGAAACTCATGACCTTTATGTTTAGGAAATCTATCTTTTTGATAATTTTCTCCCCACCATTTCTCCAAAGACTGCATCTCCTATATTTTTTAGGAAAGAAATAGGGGTGATCACCTGGCTGGATCACATAATGGGCTTTTTCTTAGAAAGATCTTTGTCTGATTCCCTTCTACTCCAACCCCAGGTCTCAGTCTAAATCTTTACCCCTTTATGATGCGCCTTTCCTGGGTTCAGAAGGGAACATTGGCTTGCTTGTTAATAACCACCTGAGCAGGCAGCACCCATCTCAGTCTGTTCTAGCTAAGTCAACTTTCACTCTCCCATGGATTTTTCACTTTGCAGAACATTGATGTCTCTCATTCATGTTGTCGCCTTTCCCTTATCACTGAGTCATGTGCCTTTTTAAAGAATCCCCTTAGTGGCCTCTGAACGGAACAGGGTTTCTGGAGGGAGTAAAAAGCCCATGTGTTTAATGTCATATATACTCATAAGTAAAAATCCTTTGCTTTGTTTTTAATGCCCCCTCTAACCTTTTCTATTTTTTAGGAAATTCAAACATCACAATTCTGTAACCTGTCCCTAATCACTGCAACTGGAAGGAATCTCTTCCTCCTAAAAAGTTCTACAGGATACTCTGATCTCTGTCACCCACGAGGTGAAAATCAGAGGCGCCCTATGGTTACTTGTATTTAACTGACCCTATTAGGTCCACGACATGACCTTCATAAGCTCTTTAGCACTAGATTCTGTATTTGACAAAGCAGAAACTGAGATTTCTTGAATAGGAAAAGTAAATAGGACCAAATCCCGGCCAGCCTGTATTTTCCTCTTTAGAAATACTCAGCAATGCCCCTTCACACCACAAGAGTATAGTACAGTATCCTCTTTTCAGCTAACTCTATTCCACCCAACTAAAGTGAAGGGAGGCAACGGTTTTATCTGAGATTTCCA